AAAAGCAGTGAGATACAGTAGGGAAAAAAAAAACACTGGATTTGGGTTCAAATGTGACCTTTGATATTACCTGTGTGACTCTGGGCAGTTGACCACAAGCTTCCTTGGTCTAATAAAGGGGTTGGACTTACTGGAGAGCTTCCCAGGTCCCTTCCAGCTCTAGAACTATGATCCTAAGGCTGAGAGCATGAGAGAGGGAGGATTCCCAACTCTTTCTTTGGTGAATTCATCAGTCTACAAATGTTTACAAAGGCAAAAGGAAAAATTTCTTTCAAATCTAGCTGAGATCCTTCTTCAGCTATTCCACTCTGAAAACACAGAGCAGGGGCTAGCTCTTAACTTTGCATTCATGACCTTGTTTTTACAAATATTTTGATAACTGTATTTAAATAGTTTCCTTTTAATATGTTGTATGTTATTTTGTAGGGCAGCTAGGTGGCGCAGTGGATAGAGGGCCAGGCCTAGAGTCAGGGAGACCCATATTCTTGAATGCACATCTGGCCTCATACACATCTAGGCAAACTAGCTGTTTGCCTCAGTTTCCTCATCTGTAAAATGAGCTAGAGAAGGAAATGGCAAACCACTCCAATTTCTGCCAAGAAAATTCTAAATGGGGTCAAAAAGAGTCAGACTGAAATGACTGAACAATAACAACAAAACCCAAGAACATAATGATATTCATTTAAATAATAGGAAAAACTGAATTATAGATAAACGAAAGCCATGTTAAAACAACAGTAGTAATAATGATGATGAGGAGGAAAACGATAATTACCTTTTTTATAATGCTTTAGAATTTACAAAACATGTTACAAACATCTCATTTTATCCTTTCAGCATGGGAAATAGGTGATATTATTATCCTCAACTGACAGATGAGGAAACAGGGGCAGATAGTGCCCAGGGTCACATAGCTAATGACTATCTGAGGCTGAATTTGAATTTGGGTCTTCTTGCCTCTGGATCCAGAGCTCTTTCCACAGTACCACCTACGTGCTGAACAGGTAATAACAAAGATCATAGATCTAGAGCTCTATGGGCTGTCAGGAGCCATTTTAGTCCAAGGCCACTGAGGAAACTGAGACCCCAGGAGGTTAAGTGACTGACTCAAGGTAACACAGGTAATAATAATTATAATAAAAATTAGACGTGAACCCAGGTCCTCTAACTTTAAATTCAGTGTTCTTTCCAAATTAATAATAGCACTTTTAAAAAGGACTTTCATACATATTTACTCCTCATAGTTGTTCTCATAGGTAGGATATAGGTTATATCACTATTCTTATTTTACCCATGAAAAAATTGAGAAAGGGAGAAGTTATTTCCCCAAAGGCACATAGCAAGACACTGATGGGCTAGAATTCAAATGGCACATAGTGTTCAGTCAGTGTTTATGAAGCAATGATGAATTTTATTTGTCCCCCTTCTCAACTAGTTAATTTATCACAGACTAAAAAGTTTGCAATCAGTTGGCCTGATACCATAAGTGTACTATATGTGACCATTTAAAAATAGAGCAAAAGGTCACTTTGAGAGTGCCCTAGGTAACCGATGTCACATGGAAAGGCAGTCAAGGAACAAAGGTGGGGACCAGGACATAGTGTGTCTCCTGCTTAGTCCTCCAGAAAGCAAAAATTTCCTTGTAACTGCATAATTTTGCACCTTCTTCCTTCTTTGCAGAGGTGGGTGACCACAGGTGTGGGATATTGCATATAATTTAAGGCTAGGCACTGTTGATGGGCTGTTCTGTTTTGCCTAATTGCCTTCTTCATTCCCTCCCCTCCTTTTTCTTTTTCAATATTTATTGTAAGAGTTGGCTCACAAGACAAAGAAGCCCAGGATGAGATGTTTGTAGATGAAGGTGATATAAAAAGGAAAGAGATCATTTGTTTTGCTGGACTATACATATTTGCAACAGGGCTTTTGTTTTTCAATGGGGGGGGGGAAGAAAGAAGGTAGATTTCTAGTAATTGAAAAGAAACATTATTTCTTTAATTATTTTTTGCTGAGGCAATTGGGGTTAAGTGACTTGCCCAGAGTCACACAGCTAGTGAGTGTTATGTGTCTGAGGCTGGATTTGAACTCAGGTCCTCCTGACTCCAGAGCCAGTACTGTATCCACTGTGCCACCCAGCCACCCCCAAAATTTTTTTAAGAAGCAAGAGATCAACAAAAATGACTTCAAATATTTTTTAAGCCTGCAAAATTTCAGCTCTAATTAGGACTAATGGAAATGGAGGTAACATTTAGCATGTCTGTCAAATGCCCTATGCAGGACTTAATTCTGTCCACATTCCAAGGGGTTAATCTATAGTCTAGCCATGCATATTTCTATGGGCCTTGTTAGAAGGGATGTTTTTCCATGAAATTTTGTACCCTGAAAGCCTTCTTCCCTACTTCAAATTTCTCTTTATTTGGATTTTTCTTTGATTCCCCATCTCACTTTATCTTCTTTATATGCTGTTACCTTTTCTACTAATAATAACTAACATATACGTAGCACTTCAAAGTTTATAAAACATTTCATATATATTATCTCATTTGAATCTCACAACAATCCTTTCAGGTAGGTGCCACTATTATCCTCATTTTACATATGAGGAAACTGAGGCAGTGACTTACAGAGCATCCCAGTTAGTGTCAGAGTGAGTGAGGGAGGATTTGAACCTAGATCACCTGGACTCCAAATCCAGTGCTCTACCCACCATTCTAGGCTGCCTAATTTAGGCTTCTTCCCTGTAAAAGGAGGGAGTTAGACTGGAAGTGGTCCCTTCCACCTCTCAATCTATAAAGAATGGGCCTGTGCTGCTTTGCAACTCAAGGCCTAGTACTGAGTCTTGCACATAGTAAACCCATAAGTGTTAAATGAATGGAGAGAAACTTGGCTTAAGTGAAGAAATCAGGATGTGAACTAGAAAGAAGTTACTTGATTTTCTCCCTTTCTTCCAGAGAAAATCCATTCCCTAGGTGTGGCAAGAAAGGGGATTTTAACAAAGGGGAAATCCAGCTGCTATTCCCCAGGGTGGGAAGTTTTTGATTACAGCACTATGTCAATGAGTTAAGGGTCATAGGTTTTGTCTCCAAACAAGTTAGTACATTTTGCTGTTTCAGACAGTACCATGTAAAAATAGATCTGTGCTATTTCATTACCATAAGAAAAATAAATCAAAGCGTATTCAACTAATGACAGCAATGCCATCTTGTATACAGAGGCTAGACAGCCCTTTGGGTGATCAGTGAAGTGCCCCTACAGTAAAGGACTAGAGAAAGAGAATTGAGTAGAGAGAAAGCCCAACAGAGGAGTGACATGATTCGGAAAATGCCCCCAAGGGGAGCCTAAACTAACAAACTCTTTACCTAGTCCTACATGTGAATCTATTAGGGGCACCATGCCAAGAGATCTAAATAGATGCTAGAACCTCCACCAATATACTAGAATTGGATACCATTCTCCAGCCCTATACATGCTCACTGGTGATACTTTGCACATAGTAGATGCCCAATAAGTAAATATTAGAGAGACAGCGTTGTACAAGGGAAAGAACTTGGTTTTGGAATAAAGGACCTAGATGGAAATCCTGCCTTTGCCAAACTATTTTTGTGACCCTGGGCAAGTTCCCTAACTTCTCTGGTCCTTAATTTCCTTATCAGCAAAATGAAGGGGTTGGGCTAGATCAGTAGAGTCAAACTCAAATGGAAATGGAAGCCACTAATCCGAACATAAGGTTCCCTGAAGGCTGAATATTGACTTGGCTTTTAAAATGCAATGTTATCTGTTTTATTGTATTTTTTTAAAATTATTTTTATCTTGTTAACTATTTCCCATTCTGGTTCAGCGGCAAACCCAGTGATTGACAGTTCAGGGCTAGATGGATGACCTCAAAGATTCGGTTCAGTTCTAAATCTATCATCTTTCCTATTAGAGTAGAAAACTGGGTTGAATTTTAAACAGAAGTCTTAGTACTGCACCTTTTCAGACTACCAAAAAACTCAGAGACCGTCTTTGCCATCTGGTTAAAAAATGGCTAGGGGATGTGGGGAAGCGACTTGCTTTTCTCCCCAACACTCATATACAGGACTGCAGTATTAGCTTCATTCCTGCTTCTTTAGTAGCCCAGGCATTACATGGGTAAGTGACTTGCTCTAACTCACAAGTTTCCTTTCTCATTGTTCCATTATCTTGAAACAGCGGTAGGTGCAAATCACAATATGACTGCCAACCAACAGCATGACAACCTTTCCCATGCTACCAAAAGAGAGAGAGAGAGAGAGAGAAAGAGGAAAATAGATCTTATGACAGGTTAGGAATGTTTTTCCAAAGCCAGAAACTTCTGCCAAGGGCTGCAAGTGAGGTGTGAAGCAATGCTCCTTCAAGCGCTGCAATATATTTTATTAAAAACAACCATCCCTTGTGGCATGCTGATCTTATCCTGTTCCATCTCAAACATCATTCAGCACCAGCGTGAGCTCGCAGGAAAGAACAATCCGGAGTTTGAGCTGAGCTGCGGATGGCATTAAGGGCCAGGTGGTATGAGGTTTGTTCAAAATGCAGTATCCCAGGGTTAGGTTTTATGGGGTTAGTACGACCAAAAGCTCCCTTCGGCCCGGAGAGAGACAACGCGTGGTTGTTTATTCAGCTTCCCAGCGTAGTCCAGCCTCCTCACCTCAGCACGCCGCCTTGGGCATTCCCAGGGCAGGTCCCAGTCAAAGGATGAGGTTTGGGGGAGAGAAAACACTGGGCTTCTGTGGTGGGCTCCTATTGTCCTCCGGTTCCGCCCAGGTCCTGGTCACCCTCTAACCAATGGCTCATCCTCCCACATTTTCCTCTTTAGCACTCCCAGCCTAACCTGGGCTCCATTTCCCCCTTTCTCCCGCGACGAATCCCTCAAAGTGGGAGGAAAGAGTCCCAGCAACAGCATCCCTGAATTCTGAACCTGCCCTCACTTTTAGCTTCCGCATGTCCTCTCCCTCCTTTCCCGCAATCCGCTGTCCTCTACTTACCCCTCTGCTGGGCTGCTCCAAAGACCAGAACTCTCCTTGCCAAGCTCTAGGGCCGCTAAGGGGATCTGAGAATCAATCGGAGCCCTGGCCTCTGCCGCCGCCTACACCTCTGGATGATTTCCCGCCCCGCCCCCTTTTCCTCCCCCTCCCCACCCACTGTGCTGCAGCTGTCGGTCCTCTAGCTCCTTTGTTGTTGAGATAAGAAAGCTTCTCTTCTCCTTTGCAGGACTCCCGCAGGATTCAGCTCTCCTATCATCCCCTTCCTCCCAGGCATCACAGTAGGGTAGAGGGAGGGGCAGAGGGTGGAGTGTATTTTCATCTGCCCACTCACAAACATTTGCTATCGCTGGGTCACCCTAAGGCTTCTGTAGCCTACCCATTGGACTTGTCCCGCACTTCCTGCCTCCACTTTACTTCCAGGGAACCCGGAAACCCGTACCTGACTGTGTGTAATGTGTGCAAAATGGGGTCATGCACCGCCCACTACACTAGACGTATCTCAAACTCGCTCGATTTAATGCAACAGCTCGTGATTGAGGTAGTGTGCTAGGCACAAAAAACCCAAACACGAAAAATTCGAAAGGCTTCTGCCTTCAAGAAGCCCATATTTTATTGAAGGGAAACATAATAAATGTTTATTGACTGGCTGATGCTATGAGGGGCGCTTGACTGGAGCCTTGAAGTGAGCTAAGAATTGCTAGAGGAAGAAGTAGGGGGAACACTAGGAATTAATTACTCTTAATTAATTAATTAATTAATTAATCAACTATAGGCTCCTGTCCAAGCACCACTTAGTGGTTATTTTTTGGGCCTTCCTGGCTCAGAGTGAATGTAAATAGTAAGTGTTTCTCTTTTGGCCAACAACCCTGAAAGTCTTACCCTCCCAGTCTTTTTTTTTTTAATATTTAAAAATGTATTTATTTTTATTAAAGGGGCCATCCCTAGACTCACTTCTTAAAGAAGCCTATTCACTGAATGGGCATTGCCTCACTCAAAGCGAGAACCTGAAAAGACCTTAGCTTAAAAGGGCCAGAGTCTCACATTGCTTCCTGGGCCATCTCCAGTCCTCCTGATGAATATCTGGCCACTGGACCCAGATGGCTGTGGAGGAGAAAGTGAGGCTGGTGACCTTGTACAGCCCTCCCTCACTCAAATCAAAGTCAATTGCAAGTCATGTCATCATCTCCCTGATGTCATGGTCCTCTTCGAGAATAAAAGACAAACCACACAATCTATCAACACAGACACTGTGCTGGGAACTGGGGATACAAGCATGGGCAACAGACTGAAAAGGTATGGAGGCTGGAAATGGAATGTCCTGCTTGGTGAGTGGCAAGTGGAACAGGCTGTCTAAAATGTAGAGTGCCCAGAAAGATAGAAGGCATGAGGGGGAAATAATGTGAAATCAATATACAACACAGTTTCTTCAGCTAGGTTTTAGTGGGTAGATGAACTTGGATGGGGAAAAATTATATTTTTATTTTCACTAACCTCTAAAGGAAATTTAGCATTTCCTTCCATTATGAATGTAAGCTACAAACAATTATTTTGAGATGAGGTCCATGGGCTTTGCTGCACTGCTAAAGGGGTCCAGGACATAAGACTAAGAACCCCTGGTCTAGAGGATCCCCTCTTAGTTTTACCAAAGAATCTGGTTAAATAATGCCAAATGTTTGATTATTCTGAAATCATTTTAGTCCTTCCAACCCCCCAATATAAAAATACACACACACACACACACACAAATATACATGCTCCACTCTATTTCATAATATGGTCAGACCAATGTTTTGGTGTATAAGGATAGTAATTGTATGAATTTCTCTCACCATATTTGGAAAGGATGAATTTAATGTCACTTTACACAGCTCAGTTTAATCCAGAGTAATTTGGATTAATTAATCTTAATTAAACCCAATCTATCATGAGGTCAGAAGCCAAAGTACAGAAGGTTAAGAAGAGAGTAACAATCTGTCAAGAAACATTTATTCTCTACTCTGTGTCAGGCACTGTGTAAGTGTTGGAAATTCAAAGAGTCAAAAGCTACACTTGAGGACCTAGAGGGCCACAGGTTCCCCACTCCGAAATAGTCACTACTTTCAAGAAGCTTACAATCTAATGGGGAGACAACATGCAAACACATATGTACAAAGCAAATTATATACAGAATAAATAGGAAATAATTAACAGAGGAAAGGCATTGAAATTGAGGGACTGGGGAAGGCTGTAGAAGGTGAGATTTTATTTGGGACCTAAAGGAAGCCAGGGGAGGTCAGTAGCTGGAATGGAGAAGAGAGAATGTTCTAGGCATAGGAACAGCTAAAGAAAATGCCTGGAGCTGAGAGATGTGGACCAGCCAGGAGGAAAGTGTCACTGGACCAAAGAGTATGTGTCTAGGAGTAAAGTGTAAGAAGACTGGAAGGCAGATGGGGGCTAAGTTATAAGGGCTTTGATTGCCCAACAGTATTTTATATTTGTTCCTGGAAGCAATAGGGAGCTGCATGAGTTGATTGAGTAGGCGAGAATGGGGCGTGGTGACATTTGATTTAGGAAAATGACTTTAGTGGCTGAATGGAGGATGGATTACAGTGGGGAGAGATTTGAGGCAATAGCAGGCTATTGCAACAACCTAGGTGTGAGGTGTTGAGGACCTGCCCAGAGTAGTGGCAGTGGGATGGGAAGGGGGAAGTTTAGAGGGAAAGGTAAGGAGTTTTGGACATACTGAGTTAAAGAAGTTTACTGGACATCCAATTCAATATGTCTGAAAGGCAGTTGTAGATCTGAGACTGATCATGTTCATTATGGAATGGTGTTTCTACATTCTTTGAAAGTGAAACAAGCCCAGAAAAGTTAAGCAACATGCCCAAAGCCACAAAGATATACTGTAACACATTGCTTCTCACATATATTTCAAGTATTAATTTTGGGGGCAAGATGGATCTTAATCATCTGAAAACTAAGAGGTTAAGAAAAATCACATCAGATATTTGTATTCTTTTAAAAATAGCTTATAAACAAGATGGGTGACAATAATAATGACAATTTAAATTTTAAGATTTGTAATGCACTTTCCAACAACTCCTCAGTCAGCTAGAGAGCTGAATTATTATCCATGTTTTACAGATGACAGAGCTGAAGCATTGAAAAGTTTTGTGACTTGTCCATGAAAATGAAAAGTTTCTAAGAATTAGGTGTTCTTTGGAATAAAATTCATGTTAGCTTAATTGAATTTTCTTCATTTCTGTAACTAAATTGAACTTGTAAAAGCAGTTTAGCCCCTGGCAGCACCGAACTAAAAATAAGAACACAGCAGACTACAATATAGGAAGACCTGACCTCAAATCCAGCCTCAGACGTATGAGCCTGGGCAAGCCTCAGCTTCCTCTACTGTAAACTGAGGGCTATAATAGCACCTATCTCCCAGGGTTCTTGTGAGATAATAATTACAAAGTACTTAATAAATATGTATTCCTTACCTCCTTCCCTCATTCTTTTAGAACAGCGACTCTAAACCCTAAAGGATAAATGAAAAACTGAATACTCCACGGGACACGCAAGAGACACCAGAATAAATAATAATTTTGTCTACCTCTATTTCATCATCTTCAGATAACAGGGACTCTGTGCTTTGGTGTGCTTCACCCTTGACTAAGTTGGTATTCTAGACAGACACCCTGTGGCATTCATGGGGACAAAAAAGATCTCAGACCTGATTCATTTACAAGAATGCCATTGCAGATAGGAAGCCAAGATGTCAGAATGAAGCTAGAAGTTTTACTGAGCTCTCCCAACACATCCCCTTTACAGCTACTTAAAAAATACACCAAACCAAATTCTGAGTGGGAAAGCCAAGAGAAAAAATCACAGTTAGTCATTTTTCTAGCCCAGGACAGCTTAGGAAGACAAAAACAGAGGTTTGTGGACACTAGGGAGGGAGCAGGCTGGGAGCTCAGTGTCATGGAAGAAGCAGCAGCTGTTGGCTGGAGCAGTAGTAGGGAGAAGCCCAGTGACGATAAGGGGACTGAATACTTTGTTAGAGATGTCAAGGGACCCCATCCCTACCCCACGGTGGACAGAAAGAAGAAACAGATCTCATTTAGCAGTTCTGTTGATGATTTCCAAGTTCTGGTCCCAGTCTAGGATGAAGGGGAGAAGTCACAGTCATTTGGGAGCAGGGAAAGGACGAGAAGGCAGACCAGGAAGGCAATGTTCATCCCTCTCTTCAGATCACACCATTTTGGAATCACTGAAAACTTACAGGTCCCTAATGAGCTACAAAAGCAGCAGAAAGACATAAAAGACAGAAGCTCAGACCAGATATTCCCTTACTCTCACCTCTAGAGGTGAGCAAAGTCAAACTCTAATATAAAGTCCAAAGTCAAGAGATAGGCTGGAAAAATGAGTAAACAACATAAAAAAAAGAATGTGACCAAAAATCCCACTATGGCAACAGGAAAATTTTAAGACACAAACTCAGAAGAAGATAATGATTTGAAAACATTTACAAGTAAAGCCTCAAAAGAAAAATGAAAATTGGACACAAGGCAAACAGGAATTCCTAGAAAAGCAACAGAAAGAGATTTTTTTTAACCCTAACCCTAAGTGCACTTGAACCCTAATCATAACATTAACACTAATTGCACTCTAACCCTAACCCTAATACTAACCCTAACCCTAATTCTACTCTAACCCTAACGTTAACCCTAACCCTAATTGTGCTCTAACCCTAAACCTAACGCTAAACCTAACCCTAACCCTAACCCTAATTGTGCTCCAGCCCTAACCCTAACCGTAACCCTAACCAAACCTCTTGCTCTAACACTAATACTAATAATTCCTTTCTAATCATAACCCTAATTCCTTTCTAACCCTTTCTTTTCTAACACAAAGCCTAATCCTAACCCTAACCCTAAACCTAACCCTAACTCTAACCCTAATCCTTTCTAACCCTAACCCTAACCTTAACAATAACCGATACCCAAACCCTAATCAAACTCTAACCATAACACTATGACAATAAGCTTAACCCTAACCCTAACCTGAATTGCATTCTAAGCCTAACCCAAACCCCAACCCCAACCCTAACCCTAATACTAATTCTAATTGTGCCCTAACCCTAA